ATGCACATGACAGGAAAAACAACGCCAGGCACAGAGTTCACCAGTAGGACAGTCTGGAGCTGATAAACCAATCCAGAACGGGTCTAACAGCTGAACGCAGCAGTGGTTAACAATCACCCCCGACACCCGAAAAACCTTTACACACATCTGTTTTGTCATGGAGTCCAGCTGCAAGCTGTGGGAACAGTTTTCCCCTCCTGAGTGGAGCAGTCCCACACTCTCCAGTATTCCAGTCTCAAGTACAAGGTTATCACTGGAAGGAGGACGCTAATCAGGGAAACCAAGGACAATTAGGAAACTATTGTTATTACAATCACACATGTAATGTTTAGCAGAAAGTCGCAAACACAAATGTTTACAACTTTCTCTCAAGTGACACCACGAGGAGGTTGAAGGCCCATCAAGTCTCAATTCATACACAAACAGATGACTGCCCCACAATGCCATCACTCACAGGTGGATTCACACTGCACGTATAACCTATATTATGCAGGCCTATTGTCCAGGCAGTGTGAGTGGATTTCAGCACTCAAAAGGCCCTAAATATAGGAGAGGGAGAGGAGGGGAGGGAGAGGGAGAGAGGAGAGGGAGCACAATAGTAAGCACACTTCGAGAGCTACCCCTCCATTTGGCCTTCTCTCTAGCCCAATAAGTATTAGTGGTGCCATTTTAGTACCTACCGATAAGGATTTGCATTCCTTCCTTATTTATTACCAGGTCAATGTCTGCATGCATGTCTTGTGATCATGCATGTCATGTGATATACAGCTGGCATCACGTGTATATATCACATGACATGCACAAAGACATTGACCAACCTCTTGCAAGAACTTCTAGGTCAAACACTGAATGCAGACTCAACTTACTAGTGGCCTTTAGCATCGGCAGAGTGGTTAGTGAAGGGCTGTATTCCTTGGCTCCTTTCAGGCTGTATGTACAAGGGAGAGGGAGGAGAGGGGGAGGGAGAGAGAGGGAAGGAGTATAATAGTAAGCATATTTCGAGATCTACCACCCGATTGGGCCTCCCCTCTAGTTCCTAGAGAGGGTAAATATGTAAAAAGAGAGTGCACGCTGGGATAGAGTATGCGCGCAGGACGTACAGTACTCACCTGATCGACGTTTTCAAGGAAGCTCTATATAGCGCACACCGACAATTTCTATTGAAATGCACATGCGCACAATCTTGACAGTAGGCCGGCCGGCCCAGGGGGGCGGTGCCACAATCCTTATGCAATCAGTTGTAATCCAAGGACACCTCAGTAATCAGGACACCTGAGAGCAGGACACTTCACTAATCTCAGTAATCAGGGCACCTCAGTAATCAGGACACTTCACTAATCAGTTTATTGACAACAATAATATCAGAGCATGGAGCATTTAGGGAGGGAGTCAGGTGTTCTTTTGCGACAATCTAATGCCTACTTAGTGTGGTAGGAACTGGCTGATGGAAACAGACCTTTCTGTCACAAAACTGTGCATACAATAATATCTGTACTGATGAGGAAAACTACCCCTGCATACCCTAAATGCAAGATATGGCACTGCATACTAGTAGTGTGTGGTATACATTGGTAAATTGTAGCATACCTCGTTTTAGCTTAGCCTTTCAATGTCGAGCAGTAAGGAATACACAAGCTTCCGTATATCATCAGTCAGGTAGCGGACAAGATCGACCTCCGCATCAAACCGGCCACGGAGTCGCTCCAAGAATTGCTAGACGGCGGGGAGGCGGGTACGTTTGATCTCATGTTCATAGACGCCGACAAGGTCAACTATCTAAAGTACTACGAGATGGCTATGGAGCTGCTGCGGCCGGGCGGGCTCATGGTAGTGGATAACGCCCTGTGGAGCGGGTGGGTTGCAGACCCGCAGGTCCAGGACGTCCACACGAACAGCATCCGTGCCGTCAACGACAGGATGAGGACCGACCCGCGCGTGGACTACGTTCTTCTCAGTGTCTCAGACGGAATAGGTATTGCCTGCAAACGCTGATGCTCGAATTTGCTTCTAAAAGTTGGTAGGTAGGTGTATATGATCTTTTATCATTCGTCTGAAAATCGTAAAATCACAAGTGATTGCTGGAGGTTAGGTGTAGCTACATTGTACCTGTGAGTGATTGTGGTTAATTGCCTGTGAATGGACTGCGATTCAGTGACCAATAGTGTTCAGGAGGGGTTTAGCGAGCTACAGCTCTGTGCATTGACAAACGAAGTGTCTTGAGTAAAATTCCGGAATCTTGTTTCTTGGGTAGTGGAAGGTCCTGCAAGGAAACAAGACTAGGGCATGTGTGTATAAAAGGTTTTGTCACTCAATACCTGGTTGGGAGGTCTTAGTAAGGAGACGGTGAGGCTAACAATGCTCACTGGTCTCTCACTGAACTCAGCCGACAGTGAACTCCTGCAATCAACACCCAATTACATCATCCGTGCGCTCTTGCACAAGAGAAGTACTGCTCGTACAATACATTATTATACAGGCTTCTCAAACTAAAACAGTCAACAGAGGTTCCACTGCATACCGTGAAACACTATCTACTTACGCGAGGTCTGCCGTTTTCAGGAGGGCGATCTCGCTGTAGGCCTTGTTCCTGTTCTCTGTGGCCACGCTGACTGACACGTCTGCCTTACCCTCCACTCCCTCCAGCTCCACCCTGTGTCCAGCATGCATTATCGTGCAACAAACAACTTTTGTGCATCATGTAGTGTTGCGAGCATAGTCACCCAGTGTGGGTATAGGTTTATACTTGGTTGACTCCACTTGATAGCCACACCAGTCCTACTTCAGGTGTCCAGTAGTCACCACACATACATACATTTTATTGCCAGTTGCGCACAATTTTGAGGAACTTGAGGAAATCTCGCGGCAGTTCAATGGCAAATCGCTTGGAATATTTACAGTTGTTTACCCACAGCAAAACAACAGGGTTAATATAGTTAATAGTCATGCAAGCAGTGAAAATACAGTGGAACCTCCGATAAGGGACCCTCCGAGATAAGGACGACCTCTCTATAATTATACAAAGGACACTTGTTTCAACCCCATGCTAATACTTTAGCGTATTATTCCTCTGAGATAGGGATGACCTCTATACAAGGGACAAATCGTCGGCTCCATAGTGTGCCCTGTTCGGAGGTTCCACTGTAATGAGCACTATTGGACTCCCCCACCTGATGGAATTGATAGAGTACGGCTGGGTGAATGTGATCATGAGCCTTGCTGTGCACCGATTCTCTGAGAACTTGAGGTGCTGGCGATAGTCCGGAGTCATGGGTATGAATGGAGCTGCATGGAGAGATTAATAGAGAGAGGAAGAACAAAGTACCGAGGGTTCCCAATTTTAGCCCTGTTCATAATTATACTGCCGTCAACACTGTCTATTGAAGAGTGCTTGGCTGCCAAAGTGTTATGCATGCTAATAAGAGTATTTTAATTACTAGAGTATAATATAATTATAAACATTCCTGCAGTGCTAAAGGTCCATGATTGCATAAAACCGATGAGAGTGTGACTCCACAGTGTGCATAAACACATGTGGTTACGTTACTGGTAGCACACACTGAGAGGTGTCCTGGTTACTTTGAACTGAAACGAACGCCACTGCTTTATGTAAATTGCTAGTGTACTACATGTACCGATGACTCCGTTATCTCTGAAGTTGTATGGAACTGGACCAACATAGGAGCAGCTCTGTAGATGGATCTTGAAGTTCTCTTTCCCCTTGCTCTGCAGAATCCTCACGTACCTGCATAATGTTGTTTTGTGACATTATTTATGACACATACATGGGGGCTTTTCCTAAATCATTCTCAAATGCGCCGAGGGTTTGCACTTCAGTGCTTTTCATTGGTCTAACTTTCAATGTGCTCTGCATGGTCCAGCGATGTAAGTGCCGTTCTCTGTGCAGCCTAGCTAGCTATGGTGTGACTAGTGGCTGCTCACCTGATGGCCATCTTTGGGAAGAAGAGCCTTTGGACAGAGAAGCACTTGAGGCGAGAGTAGTCCAGGACCATGGTCCACAGGTCCCCATCCCGAGACACCCACATCTGCAGCCAGAGTTTGTAAAACTAAATGGAATGCATTTTTGGCAAGCAAATGCTAGAGTTACACACACATTCAGTGACGATTGTGCACGCCCTTTGAATCACATAAGAAGTAATGGTAAGTGTGGCAATGTCAGATACATACAGATCTAAGAATCGTTTTTTTCCTTAGGAGTGGTCTTGGCCAACTCTAATTCTCTTTTCTTCCGTGCATTGCTTTTCCAGTGCCTTGACCATGCCCTCAAAAACGGGAAGCTTCATGCGTCGGTACATCTCTGGGAGCCAGACACCTATAGGTAAGCTCCCTTCGCTCACTGATGATAGTATGGCCAACCCTTGCCTTTATCCAACTACATACGGAGCCATTGTTCTGTTAACCCGACTCGTATTCCATAAGAGAAGCAAGCTACCTTCATATATAGTTTGACCCCTACTGTATATCAGGGTCAAACTGGATGACGTTCCAGATTAAATACATACGTACGTGTGTTGTCTGCATAGCCATGGATTAAACTTACACCACATTCGCCACTCTACTGTACGACATGTATGTCATGCGTAAAACTCCCTAACCTTGTAGCAGAAGGGGCTGTTGTCGCGGTCAGCATCCCCAGGAGACTTGCAAACATCGGGAAGATACCCGTCGAACATGATCTGGTTCACAAGGTACACGTTGTCGAACCGCACCGTGAGGTGGGCGGGGTCAACGTTGGCAGAGAACGTGAGGGAGAAGGAGTAGTCGCAGATGGTGGCGGACTCCTCAGATCTGCCCGGAAGGAGATCCAGGATGTAGTTGTAGCACGTCGTTAGTCTGGGGTCTCCCCCCTCAAACAGGTTGATATTGTCACCAGCTGGGACACACAGTAGTGTGTTATAAAATTCACCATTAGACAAGGGTCACTAACAGTAATTGATCTAACACATCATTGGTGAGTTATGCAACGGAAAATTGCACAATTCAGACGACTAGGTGGGTTTGCTTCACTTCCCAATTACTCTGCACACGAGAGAGAGAGAGAGAGAGAGAGAGAGAGAGAGAGAGATAGAGAGAGAGAGAGAGAGAGAGAGAGAGAGATAGAGAGAGAGAGAGAGAGAGATAGAGAGAGAGAGAGAGAGACTGTAAAAGCTGTGTCCCATCTGTTCTTACATGTACTTGTCCTCCCGCGAGTGGCAATCTCCACAGGCTCTCCTTCCCCCATGGCCGCCAGCACCCTGGCCCGGGCAAACAGCCCCGTAGGTAACACCTTTGCCTTCAGCTCAGCCTGCGGCATCTCAGTCAGTCGCACACACTCCAGCAACTCCGAAGCCCCCTCCTTCCTGACACCGTTCGTCTCCATCCACTTCCGCACGGCCTCGAAGATCTGTATCTCCTCCACCATGAATGTGTCCCGAGCGATCAGTTTCTTGAGGTTTTCTTTCGGTAGTTGCTGGAGAGCCGTGCTTGCGATGACCTCTCCAGCGTGGAGGTCCATGAAGACTTCGCACTTGTCCTGGAGGAGGGGGGCAGAGCTGCTCAGCCTGCGGCATCTCAGTCAGTCGCACACACTCCAGCAACTCCGAAGCCCCCTCCTTCCTGACACCGTTCGTCTCCATCCACTTCCGCACGGCCTCGAAGATCTGTATCTCCTCCACCATGAATGTGTCCCGAGCGATCAGTTTCTTGAGGTTTTCTTTCGGTAGTTGCTGGAGAGCCGTGCTTGCGATGACCTCTCCAGCGTGGAGGTCCATGAAGACTTCGCACTTGTCCTGGAGGAGGGGGGCAGAGCTGCTCTGGGCGTGGGAGTGAAAGAGAAAGACATTCTCAGGAGTGATGATCTTTGACAGGTGGGACTCGATTCCGTCTTTGAGGTGGGGGAAGCCGTAGCGGTCGGCCAGAATGTGCAGATCCAGTGCCGTCTGAGTGTGTGTGTGTGTGTGTGATGAGTATGCACAGAGAAAGAACAAATTCCTCTATTCAGGCTTGCTATTGATCAGAGCTCGTCATGGTTTGTGCATGCACCAAAAAAACACACACAGTCCACTGTGTCCCCAGTGTATAATACACACAATGGTTCTCTCCTTGACATTAGCCACTGAACCAGAGTACACAAAACGGACCAGCTCTCTGAAGGCCTCGACTGGTGTCTCTTTGAGAGTAATCTCGGAGGCCCGCCCCTCAATCATGGGGCCGTAGAGCAGGCAGTCAAAGTAGTCGGACTGCGAGGCGAGCACGGCACGGTGTGCACCGACTGGCTGACCACTCACCAGGAACGTCACGTCTGTATATAGCTGACGGCCAAACAGTTTGACCAGCCTCGAGGCAAGCCTCCCGATATGGGTTATGTCTAGCTCCAGCACCTCTGCAGGGTGGAGCAAGATAAGATTTTACATCAGGGCGGTACACTAGCATCATAACACAGGTATATACAAACTCTGTGTGTTCATACTACATGTTGAAAAACATTGCGGAGCTAAGATCAGTGGGGTCTAAACCAGAGGTAGAGGAACCAAAACGTCCAGACATTATTCCTGCAATCTGATTGGGCTGCAAAAATTCTACAGCAGGGTACAAATTGCGATCAAGCTCGCCAACAGACCCTCACACTTTGTGGGCCGCTCGTGTGGGTGTGGTTCCACCACCAGAGTACTCCCTCCCTCTCCCTCCCTCCCTCCCTCCCTCTCCCTCCTTCCCTCCCTCCCTCTCCCTCCTTCCCCCCCTCTCCCTCCTTCCAAGATTACGATTATAAGCAGTTTCATGTTCAAATTGCCTGTTTTGCTCTCATGTCATATTGCACTTGCACTAAGTTATAATATGCACATAATATAACCAGTTAG